TAGGTGTGGTCCCTTATGCTGAGTGTTCTGTGGGATGGTGGAGAGCAGTGCCTCTCTAACTTAAGTGGAAGTCCGGAAGTTTATCGCAAGTCCAGATTCTGAGATCACATTAAAAGAACAACACTGATCTAAGGGTCAGAATGGGGCTGGTATCCTGGCTCTCCTACTCCCCCACAGCCTTGGCCAAAGCAGGTGACCTTACCTGTTAAATGGGCACAAAACAGCAACTACTCAGAGGTTTTATAATGATGACATGAGAATGCAAGTGTGTATGCAAAGTAGCTTGTGAGTTGTAAAGAGAAACTACGAAACATAATTATTTATTGTCAGACCCCTGTTCCTTTCTGGACCAACAGGACACTGAGGCATTGGTTGAAGGGACTGGGGCTCCATACTGTCTCTGCTTTACTATTTTGCCTGAGGGCAAGAGGACTTCGTCTTTGGCCTTAGAAGTAACCAGAAGGAGAGGTTACGGCTTGAGATCCCTATGCTCATTGCCTGCAGGATCCGGCAAAAATAACACCCCTTTTTTTATTGCAAAATCTTTTATTACAAAATCATAAGCATGTAATTCTGTGACATTTTAGGTGCAATGTTCAAATTGAAACTATAAATTATTACACCCATATTATTACCCTACCAACTGAACTCAAGCAGGCGATCGTTACTTCTGCTGGACCCTCTGTGTGCTAATCAAGAATTCATAAAGGAGCCCAGGCTTGTGTGGCTCTGTGGATTGAGTGCCAGCCTTCGAACCAAAGGGCCGCTGGTTTGATTCCTAGTCAGGGCACAGGCCTGGCTTGTGGGGCCAGGTCCCCAGTAGGGAGCGCACAAGAGGCAACCACACATTGATGTTTTTCTCCCTCTCTTTCTCCCTCCTTTCCCCTCTCTCTAAAAAGAAATAAATAAAATCTTTCCTTAAAATTTCATAAAGGAGAGGGACCCAGAAGTCTCGGTGTTGTAAATTCCCTTTTTCAACCTAAGGGTCTTGGAAAATTCTCGTAATAGCAACACCATTATTGGGAAACACTATAATGAAGTGATTAAGAGCAGAGGCTCTGGGATTGACCTGCCTGGGTGAGAACACTGGCTCCCACCCTCAGGACCTGTGTGGCCTATTGATAGACTCACTCCTGTCTCAGTGTCCTCAACTGTGAAGTGGTGATAATGATGACAGAGCCACCTCCCAGGGTTGTTGAGTACTTTTGGTGACATAGCATAGGAAATGCACTTAGAAAAGTACTCAGGTACCTGGTGAATACTCAGTAAATGGCGGTTGTATTATTATGGAGCTTTTGAGGGTGTGCCAGCCCCGTGCTAGTCAGTTTATATGGGTTATTTAATTTAATCTTTGTTAAACCCTTTATGGTAGAACTATTATCCCCATTTTATGGATGAGAAAACTGAGGCTCAGAGGCAATAACTAACTTGCTCTAAGTGTAACAGTTAGAACCAGGTAGAACCAGGATTTGAACTCTATAGTCTTCTGACTCCAGAATCTGTGCGTTCTCACATAGTACACAGTCTGGTATACCAGATGGACGCTTCCCCTCTTTCCTTCAAAAGAGTGCCATAAGAAATTGGTAAGATGGCTGAGATTTTGGTTAACCTTTCAGGAAGGCCCTATGGGCACACTGTCTCCGCAAAGCTGAATGTCTTGATCCGGGATAATGAACACTTTGGGGAGAGGTCTTTCCTTGTTGAATCAGTCCAAGGGCCCATGCCCACGGAGGCCAATGGGAGCTCGCAGTGTGACCAGCCAACAGCTTTCAAGGCCGGAAGCATAGCTAAGTATTCTAACTTCACACTTCTTCAGATGAACAGAGTTTTGCCACCCGCAGGCATTTGTTTCCTTGTTTCACTCACCATTCTTTTAGTTAAAAAGGGTTAAAAGCTGTCCTTTATGATCACAGCCAGGACTGAGTGAAAAGACAGAATTCTACCTCCCAGGATCCCAGAGGGGCAGCAGTTGTCCCGAAGAGCTGACTTTTTGGAGCATAATCTGTCTGTTTACTGTATGAATGCCCAAGCCAAGGGTTTGCCTGACCAGTCGGTGGCTGCCTGACCTTCACAGGCTGACGTTTAGATGTTGCTCTGATGTGCAGGAAGTCACGACTCTCCAGTCGCCTGCAACTGACTTGATGCCCACCCGATGGAATGCTTTGTTCCTCAAGTTTGCAGGGGAAATCAAGACTTTTGCTATTATTCAGCCAAAGGTGGGGGTGGGGCCCTAAGAAGAAGCGGGGAGGGTGGGGGTGGGAGTGCTGAAGGCTCCGCTTTACTTTCAGTATTCCTGTTGAGTTGCTCGCTGTTCCTGCTCTCCCAGTCCTGACACTAGGGTTCTTAAAATCCTGACCTTTGGAAAAATTTAGCCCCTGCATCCCCACACCTGCACGCCCTCATCCTGCATTTATTGAGCATCTTTGGTGTACCAAGGCATGAGGTCAACTTCTTTCGCATTCACCTCTTCGTCCGGTCTTTGTGGGCTTTTTACAAATGAGAAAACAGGCTTAAGAAGCTAAGTGATTTGGACAAGGTCGCACAGCTGGTGGGGGTGGGGGGAAATCCAGGTCTGTCTGCTCCAGGTCCAGTGCTTTTCCAGTCTCCCCTCCCCCCAATTTCTTCTTCCTCCTCTCTGTTCTGGTCACCCCCTTACCCTGAACTCCTCCTTGGTACAGTCCCACTTCCTGCTGTGTGGAGCTAGCAGTGTTTCTTAACCTCTATTGACATTCTGGGCCAGATCATTTCTTTGTTGTGGGACCTGCCCTGTATATTGTGGGATATCAGCAGCATCCCTGACTTTCATCCACTAAATGCCAGAAGTACCTCCAATCACAACAACCAAAAATGCCATTACCCATTGCCAGATGCTCCTGGGAGGGAAAGACCATCCCTGGTTGGGAACCAGTGAGTTAACTTTATCTTTCTTCTCTTTTCCTCCCCATGAAAGGGTCAGCATGTTGGAGAGCTCTGCCCCACAATCCTTAGTCTTTGCTGTTGCATCCAACCAAAGTTCCCTAAGGCAGCACCTAAAGCCGTGATGAGAGATGGTCACAAAGCCTCAGGTTCTGGGGCGTAGGGTCTAAGTGAAAAAAGCCCCACCCTCCCTTCTCAGTGCAGAACAGGCCCCGGAGGATGGGGCTGGGTGGCTGGGTCTTCAGCTTCCCTGCCTGGCGAAGAGTCCCCTGTCATACACTTGCAGAGAGACCTGGAGAGACAGGGGCACTGGCCCTGGAGTAAGGCCTTCCTGTGAGGTGTGGAGATGCCGCACCTCTCAAACGGATTCCTTTGTTTTCCACAGGAAATCCTGCATCTTTTCTAGGGCAGCTGATTCTCAGCATTGGAGGGGGAGGGCAAAGTCTCAGTTGAGCATCTGACAAGAGCTGTGATCCTTTACTCCAGAAATGTATATGTTGCCTGTAATTTCTAGGGTTCACAGATGCCCATCCATCCATGCATGCATTTGATCAGGTTAGGAGCCCTGCCTTAATGCTCACGCTCACCCTTGGGTTTGAAGTGGAGAAGGAAGGAGGCTAGGGGTCTCTCCTTGCTTTTGGAGGGCCTAGCAGTACAATCTTTTTTTTATCCTCACCTGAGGACATGCTTATTGATTTTTAGAGAGGGGAAGGGAGGGAGAAAGAGGAGAGCAACACCAATGTGAGAGAGAATCATTGATTGGTTGCCTTTCATATGCACTCCGACTTGGGACCGAACCCACAACCAAGGCATGTGCCCTGACCAGGAATCAAACCCACGACCTTTTGGTTTGCGGGACGATGCCCAACGAACTGAAACACACCACTGGCCAGGGCAGTACAGTCTTTTAGTCCAGATCCTAAACCCTAAGTCAGGCTGAGCCATTGCAATGTGCAGTGTGGGTATTCATTGAAGAGATGAGCCAAGAAAAGGAGGCTGGCTCGGTAAATAGGAGAGGAAGAGGGGTGGCAGTGTAGGAGCTGACTCCTTCCTGCCCCAGCCTGGCCTGAGGATAGGGCCCAGCGAGGGGAGGAAAGGGAGAAGAAAGCAAGGGGGAGAGATGAGCAATGAGCAGTGGCCCCTTCTTTCCCAGCTGCAGCAGCCCAGCGGGTTAGATGAATGCTGGGAGGGGGAGAGTGACCCTGGCAGAAACTTTTGTTCCAGATGAGGCTGGAGCAGGGGGCACCGAGCCATTCACACGCCATCGGAGGGCATCCTGCTGGGCACTCTGGGGAGGGGGACACAGCAGCCGGTCATGGGACTTGGCCAGGCAGATAGCTGGAGGCTCAATGGGGAAGCCCAGCTGCGTGATGCTGAGGCTGGGGGAGGGGCTGCTTCTGCCATCCTTCCTCCAGGCTGTGGCCTGTCCCACAGACAGGAAAGCCCTGACTGGTCCCACTCACTGTGCCCTGAGACAGCCTACTCCCTTTCTCCGTGCACCCCACTCCTTTTTAAAAGTGGTTTCCCCTCTCAAAAGTGACCTCCGACTGGGGGACTCACAGCTGCCTGAGTTGCTTCCTGCTCCTGTGTGTGGATTCCTTACCCCTAAAGGGGGTCCAGCACTTTAATTCCATTCTCATTTCGTGCCTCTCCCACTCCCAGGCCTCCACCAAGGGCCTGGTCCTGCTCAGAGGCAAAAACATCCCCACTTCAACCCAGCTGGGAAGGGAAGGACATGGAGGTCTCACCTGCATCACCCCTTCTGTCCCCTGTTCCCCTTCCCCGAGAGCACCAACCCTCCAGGTGGCATTGTGTGGCTCCGGGCTTTTGTGGGTGCTACATAAAAAAGCCTGTCATGCAAGGGGGTGTCTGGACTACTTGGGAGCCCAGAGTCAGAGGGCAGCATGACCATTTGTGCCTTGGAGGAGGGGCAGTCGTCATTACAGGGTCTGCATCTCCCTCCAGTGTCACCATGTCACCTGGGTGACAGTGGTCCTAGACTTGGCTCCTCTGCCTTCGTCCCTGGAATGGGCTTTGCTTGGGCGGGAGCTGAGCCCTCACTGGTTCCTCTTCCCTGTGCCCAGGCCGAGCCAGCAGCCCCGAGTGTGCCTGCGGTCGGAGCCACTTCACCTGCGCAGTCAGTGCCCTGGGCGAGTGCACCTGCATCCCCGCACAGTGGCAGTGCGACGGAGACAACGACTGCGGGGACCACAGCGATGAGGATGGCTGTAGTAAGACCCTCCCCAGTGGGCGGTGGGGGTGGTAGAAGAGGAACCTGGGGGCCGGCGAGGGAGCTGGGACGAGTCTGAGGGAGCTTTGTGCATCGGTCGCGTCAGGCTCAGAGCCCTGGACTCTTGCAAGGATGACAGATATGACAAATGGGCGGTTTCCTCACAATATATATGGCTCCAACCCTTGTGTGTTTCCCAATTGTCCACGCATGTATGTCCACGGACTTTGAAACAAGCCTGGAAACGGCAGGTGGTCTCTCTGAATAGAGCTGTCCGTATTTAAGTGAATTTGTGTCTGTGTTCTGCATGTTGATCCGTTTTTAATGTGCGTGCTCTATACGAGCCCAGATTACTTTTCTTATATTAATATTCTGCATAATCACATATTTTAATAATGTAAACTTTGTAAGAAACCTTATATTCTCTTTAAGTCTCTCTTTCCCTCTAGTGTAATAACACATGCATAGCAGACTGGGATATATGGAAATTCTGCTGCTGAGTCAGTTGTCTGGGTTTGGGGGTGCAACCTGCAGCACCTACTTCTGAGGGTGGCTAATTAGTCTAATAAGAATGAAGCTACAACCTGGACCTTATTAACCCAAACCATTTCAGCTAATTGCGATGATGTTAAATGGCTCACTTTCATGTAACAACACTTTCACGAGCATTGTCTCCAAAGACCTCTGCGAGTGGAGTATAATTACCCCCGCTTTAGAGTCGAAGAACCTGCAGCTCAGAGGGAGGAGCCGACTTGCTCGATGCGATAAGTAATGAGTTCTAGGACTGGAAATGGAGCTGAGATGTGTGGCTCATTATTTAACAAGAGGAAAGGAAAAAATACACTTCTCTCACTTGCTCATGTTTTTCTTACTGCTTTCTTCGTGGGTTTGAGCTCCTTGGGCGGCTCAGTCTTGTGAACTGCTCACCACCTGCTAATACTCTCACCTCTTTGCTACAGTTTCTGCTTTGCTTCTCCATCAGCTGGGGGCAGGTGCAGGAGTCTGAAGGAGGACTGTAATTCAGACAGCCCGGTTCAGCCTGCCTGAGTAAGTACACCACACTGATTCCCTTTTTCCTTCTTTTTTTCTGGGACTCAGTGCTGCCCACCTGCTCCCCTCTTGACTTTCACTGTGACAATGGCAAGTGCATCCGCCGCTCCTGGGTGTGCGACGGGGACAATGACTGTGAGGATGACTCCGACGAGCAGGACTGTCGTGAGTGCTGGCCAGGCGGGCTCTGCCAGGTTCTGTGGGGAAGGGATTTTCAATCAGAAAAGTCATGTCCCTGGGCCCACATCAGCCTTTGGGTCTTCAGCTCTTGGACCTGTCCTTTCACCTCCTCTAGTGGTCAGATAAGGCCCTGCCCCCAACCCCCACGAGATAGCACCTGTGGCGGATCCTGCCCGCAGCCTCAGAGCCGCTGGACTGCTCTGCTCCGCCAGGCTTCCTGGTGGGCTCCCAGGCACATGCCCCCACCGCCTGCTGCAGCCCGACCGCTCTGTGCCCACAGCCCCCCGGGAGTGCGAGGAGGATGAGTTCCCCTGCCAGAATGGCTACTGCATCCGGAGCCTGTGGCACTGTGATGGTGACAATGACTGTGGGGACAACAGTGATGAGCAGTGTGGTGAGTGGTGCCCTGGGAGGCATACAGGGTGGCTGGTGGATGGCCTGGCCATGGCAGGAGAGCGCAGCAATCGCCTTAGCACCGCTGGAACTTGAACTGGCCAGGTGTCTACGTGTCTATGTGGAACAGCTGGGCAAAGGCAGGAGGGCAGAGCAGCCCAGGCCCCCGGCAGTGGCAGAGCAGGAGTCTGAGGCCCAGTGACTTCAGGGCCTCAGCTTTCCCCAGAGAGCCTGCACCGGTTCTGGGGTGTTCTGCCAGCTGGGTCAGAGGCCCCAGGGTCGGTGAGGGCGGCAGTCAGGGAGGCTGTGAAGAAGGTCGCTTGCAGGGCCCCTCAGGACGGCTGTCCCGCTGCATCCCCCAGACATGCGCAAGTGCTCTGACAAGGAATTCCGCTGCAGTGACGGGAGCTGTATCGCTGAGCACTGGTACTGCGACGGTGACACCGACTGCAAAGATGGCTCTGATGAGGAGAGCTGTCGTGAGTGGCCCAGACCGCAGGCTGTTGGGCTGGGATGGGGCAGCGGGCTCCCTTGCAGGGCCGAGGAGTACTTGTGGAGTGGAGGGTGTGTTCTTAAGAAGCACCTCCTCCTAGGCTGTGCTCGGGTGGAAGCAGGTTCCCCGGATGGAAAGGGAGGCCCCCCTTTGGTCTGCCTGAATATGGGGGTCTACAAGGACCACCTTCTATGCAACCTGGTGACATCTCACTTGAGGAAGGCACCCTGCCTGAGCATCCTGTCCCCTGGAGGAGTCGGGGCCCATCTCCTCTGCCCAGGCCTGAGTGTATGCCCCTCCCCACTCCTGCCGTCCCATCCAGCCTCAGCAGTGCCAGCGCCCCCCTGCAACCTGGAAGAGTTCCAGTGCGCCTACGGCCGCTGCATCCTCGACATCTACCACTGTGACGGCGACGATGACTGCGGAGACTGGTCGGACGAGTCCGACTGCTGTGAGTGCTCTAGCCAGCTGGGTGGAGGAGGGGAAGAGGCCCGGCTGGGTTGGCCAGGCACAGGTGCCAGCTGGGGCAGGAGCACAAGGGAGGACTTTCTGGATCCCCTGGTCCTTCCTGGGCAGGGATGGAAGAGCCAGGGTGCCGGGGCCGTGGCTTTCTGGTCCGCTACGGGACACTCTGTGCACAGACTGGCTAGAGACAGAAGCCTGATGTGTCTCCCCAGCCTCCCACCAGCCCTGCCGCTCTGGGGAGTTCATGTGTGACAGTGGCCTGTGCATCAACGCCGGCTGGCGCTGCGATGGCGACGCAGACTGTGATGACCAGTCTGATGAGCGCAACTGCAGTGAGTGGGGGACGGGGCTGAAGGTCTGAGCTGGAGCGGGGAGCGGGCTTGCGGAGCCGAAGAGGCCACCGCCGACAAAGCATGCGGGCAGGTGGGGCGCGGTCACCGAGCACAGTTGCACAGGTTGTGCACTGCACAGGGTGCTTTGTCCAAAGGGACGCCCAGTCACGTAGCAGCCACATGTCCTGTAACTGCACAGATTTATATATTCACCATGGCAGCTTTCCAGCAGGTGGCAGTAAAGTATCTTGAGAAAAGGGCACCTTTTTCTAATTCACACAGAGATGCCCCGTAGACCAGCCAGGACGCTAGTGTCAAGAAGAGCGGCATGGGTGCTGGCATAAAGTGCACTTTTGGGTGGTGGGTGGTGCTCCGGGCAGAAATGGGGCCAGGCTTTTATGAGGCCTTTGCTTTGCCAGCCACCTCAATGTGTACAGCCGAACAGTTCCGCTGTCGCTCAGGCCGCTGTGTCCGCCTGTCCTGGCGCTGTGATGGGGAGGATGACTGTGCGGACAACAGCGATGAAGAGAACTGTGAGAACACAGGTAGAGTCTCCCAGAGGTTCCCCCAGACCGCTTAGTCTATAGTTGGGGTGAAGGACAGGCAAAAAGTGGGTGTCACCACTGCCGTTTCAGCTGGGCCAAGGTGATGCTTTAGTCATTCCTGCTCATGGCCTGGATTTTTCCTGCCTTTCCCAGGTAGCAGTGTCAAATCCAGGTGTATTTGTTGGCCTGCAGCCTTATGGCCTGTAACACAATGTCAGGGCTGTGGGCTTCAGTCACCTCCCACATTGCAGCTCACACACAACTGGTGCCTGTCGTTCCGGCCTAGGGAGCGAGGACTGCTCTCCACGTCTGACAGCCTCCAGTGCCTGTGGCCCTGGCCACTCCGGGTGCTAGGCGCATGGAAGCACTCTCTCACTCTGTCCCACGTCCCTCACCATCCACCGTGGTGTCCTGGGGAGAAAGTGAACGCAGACACTCAGCCAGCCCTGTCTGAGCTGTTTCCTGGCTTGGACCCCGACCCTCCCACCTTGAGTCTCATCTGTCTCCAGCTCGCCTTAGAAAATGACAGGCTCCCATCCTTTTGTTGACCCAAGCCCTGCCCTGCTGTGACCTGATTCTGCCTCCCTTCCACCTTCCCTCCCTCCTTTGCTAGGAAGCCCCCAGTGCGCCTCGGACCAGTTCCTGTGCTGGAACGGGCGCTGCATCGGCCAGAGGAAGCTGTGCAATGGGGTCAATGACTGTGGTGACAACAGTGACGAAAGCCCACAGCAGAACTGCCGTGAGTGTCCCCAGTGGGCGGGCGTGGCCCATGGTTTGTGGCTGAACCCCACCCATACACTTCAAAAAGAACCCTCCCCAGGGACTTGAGCAGCCCCGGGAGCTGTTCTTCGTGGTCCAGGTGGAATGCCAAGTTGGCTGTCTGGGGGAGGATTCTGGGCTCAGCTCCCATCTCTGGCTCGGCTGGCACAGGGCCCCGGACGGGTGCGGAGAACTGCAATGTGAACAACGGTGGCTGCGCCCAGAAGTGCCAGATGGTGCGGGGGGCAGTGCAGTGTACCTGCCACACAGGCTACCGGCTCACAGAGGACGGGCACATGTGCCAGGGTGAGCTGGGCGTGGTCTGGAGCAGGGCCGGGATGCTGGGCAGGGGCGGCAATCAGGCAGTTGTGTTTCCTATGGGTCGGGCATTTGACAGATATGACCTCATTTCATCATCACAATAACCCTAGGAGGTAAGGACAGTCCCCTCCATTTCACACATGGGGAAACTGAAGCTCAGAGAGGTTAAATAATTTACTGAAGGCCACAGAGCTGGTGAGTAGCAATGCTGGGATTCCAGCCCAGGTCTGCGTGACTTTGAAGCTTGAACCACTTGTTATGTAGCCTTCCCACTAGGCCTGGGAAATAGATGGGAATGTGGGCAGGAAAGCAGCTAGTCAGCCAGGGAATAGAGGTGTGAGGATGGCAGAGGAAAGAGCTTCTGACCTGCCTGGTCCCCACAGATGTGAACGAATGTGCCGAGGAAGGGTATTGCAGCCAGGGCTGCACCAACAGTGAAGGGGCTTTCCAGTGCTGGTGCGAGGCAGGCTATGAACTCCGGCCCGACCGGCGCAGCTGCAAGGCTCTGGGTAAGGGGTGTTGGCATGTGGCGGGGTGGGCAGAGGTCTGCATGTGGAGACAGCTGGGTGCTCCAGTGCTCAGCGATTTGCTGAGAGCTAGAAAGATTTTCATCTCAGGAAAATGGAGCTTTGAGGTGCATTCTGAGCCCCTCAAAAAGCCCTGCTGGGGTGGAGTATGGTGGGCTGGGCTAGGGGAGTATACTTTAGAAACGCCAACATTTCTAGTACTGATGCCAGCAGCTCGGGGCATGCCCTAATAGGCTAGGGGCCCTGTTAGCTGAGACGCCGGGCTGCATGCTGAGGGTGCAGCTCTGGAGTCCGGTGGGACCCCATTTCTGTGCCATGTCCCAGGGCCGGAGCCTGTGCTACTGTTCGCCAATCGCATCGACATCCGCCAGGTGCTACCGCACCGCTCTGAATACACGTTGCTGCTCAACAACCTGGAGAATGCCATTGCCCTTGATTTCCATCACCGGCGTGAGCTTGTCTTCTGGTCAGATGTCACTCTGGACCGGATTCTGCGGGCCAACCTCAATGGCAGCAATGTGGAGGAGGTTGTGTCTACAGGGCTTGAAAGCCCAGGTAGGGAGCCAGGCTCATGGGGTGGGGCAGGGCCACGCCATGTGCAGAGCCGCCAGGGAAGGGTCAGGCTGGAGGTTTGCAAACCTTAGGGAACGGAACATCTTTTTCTTCCGGCGAAGTCTTGGATGAGCTAATATGGACAGCATTTGTTAGTATACATTAACTTTACAAGTTCATATTTGTATCATTTGCTCCTTATTGAGCTCAATGAGTTAGAATAATGAGACCATTTTGATGAAGATAATCATTTGAAATCAGAGCTCTGTGGATGAGGATTACACTTCTCTATCAGCTTTTCCATCTGGCTTAATTCTGAATTTTGTTTTGATTGCTTAGAATTAAGAGTATCCTGATCAACTCAAATAAATATATCCAAATGTTTACAGATGAAAAAACCACAGCTTACTTTGCGGTCTCGGGCCATTCGACGAGCACGTGAAGTGGGTTGGAATTTAATATTGAGCACAGTTGACTCAAATTATGGAACTTTTGAAGTGCCTTTGCAAAACCCTAAGCTGCAATTTGCAAACCCCCGAGCCAGTCCAGTGGAGGACCCGCCGTGTGGGTCAGGGCGCCAGAATTCAGGGAGAGGAGTAGGGTTGGCTAAGAGCAGGAAGTGTGTGACCTGGGTCAGTTGCCTGACTTTTCTGGACCTCAGTTTCTTCATCTTCGTGGGGTTCTAGTGCCTCACTCACAGAGTTGTTACGTGTATATGTGTATATGGTGAGAACACTGCCTGGTCCAAGAAACTGCTTTGTGCCAGAGTTTGCTCTTGTTCCTATGGCACAGAAGAATGCGGCCTGAGTCCCTGACAATGTCCCACTGACTCTTCCCACCAGGAGGCCTGGCTGTGGATTGGGTCCACGACAAACTCTACTGGACTGACTCAGGAACATCGAGGATTGAGGTGGCCAACCTGGATGGGGCTCACCGGAAGGTGCTGCTTTGGCAGAACCTTGAGAAGCCTCGGGCCATTGCCTTGCACCCCATGGAGGGGTGAGTTGTGTCTTAAGTTCCTAAATCTGTCTTGCAACCTATCGGAACCGTTCCCAGGCCAGCTGGGCCAGACCCTATTGGGGAGCATCTTCACACTGTGGTGTCTACAGCATGGGCTCTGCACCCAAGCCCACCTGGGTTTGAGTCCTGGCTCCGTCCGCAGTACCTGGCTGTGTGGTCATAGGCTCATTGGCTAGACTCTCTCTGCCTCCGTTTACTCTTGTCTACATTGGTGATAAAAAACACACCTACCACATAGCCGTGGGAAGACTAAGATGATGAGTTTTAAATGGTGTAATACACATCAGAGAAGTTGTGGGGGTTTCGTGTTTTTATTAGTAGCTCACGAGGTTGAGCTAATTGCTAATAATTTTATTATTGAAAGAAAAGTCTCCTGAAAAGGAAGGTGCTAGCCCCTGGTGTTTAAAAATTCCATGCAGCCCACTGAAGGGAGTGTCCTCTGAGACCCTGCACTCCTAGGTCAGCTACTTTGGAAAGTGTGTGTGTTCGTGTGTTTGAGTGTCTGTGTTACAAGCATCTTTGGAGATTATGAGAAAGAATAAAGTGCCTTTCCGAATATAACATTAGATTGTCGATTCCACGAGGGTTGGGATTTTTGTCTGTTGTTCCCTGCTGTACTGTCAGCGCTTAACATCGTGTCCTGCCCATAGCGGGTGTTGCAAAAAGAAACTGTTCAATGAATAAAGGCTGTCTAGAGACACTTAAATTAAAACAGTTCAAAACACTCTCCGAGCAGACAAGCTGTATCTCCCATCAGCTGGAGCTAACTGCGTGTGTGCACCTTGCCCATTTACTGTCCTGGGTACCTGTCTTCCCTCTACTGCCTCTCAGCATCCTTTCCTCTCTTCCTAGTACCATTTACTGGACAGATTGGGGCAACACCCCCCGCATCGAAGCCTCTAGCATGGACGGGTCTGGACGCCGCATCATCGCCGATACCCATCTCTTCTGGCCCAACGGCCTCACCATTGACTACGCCGGGCATCGCATGTACTGGGTGGATGCTAAGCACCATGTCATCGAGAGGGCCAATTTGGATGGGAGTCACCGCAAGGCTGTCATTAGCCAAGGTGAGGCACTTCCTCCGCTCTCCATCCCCATCCTCCTTTCCGCATGCTGGACCCCCAGAGCCTGGGCAGAGGGTGAGATTGGGGCAGGGCCAGGAAGGCCACGTCTGGACAGAGGTCCTCTTGGACTTTCCCCAGGGCTCCCGCACCCCTTTGCCATCACGGTGTTTGAAGACAGCCTGTACTGGACAGACTGGCACACCAAGAGCATCAACAGTGCCAACAAATTTACTGGCAAGAACCAGGAGATCATTCGCAACAAACTCCACTTCCCCATGGACATCCACACTTTGCATCCCCAGCGCCAGCCGGCAGGTAAAAAGCTGCCCACCTGGTGAGCCTCTGGTGCCTCTGAGAATCTTCCCGGCACCTGCCACATTCTCCATTGTTTCCGCCCAGAAAATTCCAGGTTGGCACTGACGTGGGCTAGTTTCTCCCTCTGCTGGACATTTAGGGTGGTACAACATTGAGATCCAGTGTCCCCGTCTGATTCACGCAGACGTTTATAGAGCATCTCCTTTGTGTCAGGTGTTCACTGCTCACAGCTGGGACTGACATAAAAAACAATAAGACATAGTTCCTCCCTCCAGGGAGCTCACACCATAGCTAAACGCCTAGCCTTGGGCCCACCTTTAGTCTTACCTGACCCTCTTGCTCTGGGCTTTTTGAGCAGGGAAAAACCGCTGTGGGGACAACAATGGAGGCTGCACCCACCTGTGTCTGCCCAGTGGCCAGAACTATACCTGTGCCTGCCCCACTGGCTTCCGCAAGATCAGCAACCACGCCTGTGCCCAGAGTAAGTGGGTCTGGGGCACCCGCCTCAATGGATGCGCCTTGTGAGGGTGGGTGGAAGGAACAGGGATATGGATTTGAGGGATTGCCTGCTGTGGGGTGGAGCCAGGCTCCTCAGGTAGCCCCTGGAGAGGAAGGACGGATGAGGCCAAGGGCTCCTAGGTCAAAGCTGAGGGCTGAGGCCCCAGGAGTAGTTGCTACAGGTTCAGTGACACCACCCAGTCAAGTACGGACACCTGCCACCAGGCTTCTTTATCATTTTACCAGGCAGGCTGCTCTTTCTATAGGCAGCCAGAGGGTGCCAGGCCCTTCTAGAAAGCAGGAGAGTGGTTTCCTATCTCTTTCCCTTCTGCCTCACCCTGTTAAAAACTCTCTTTCAGCCCCTAATCCAGAGAGCCAAGGTTAGGACTGCTGATGATGCTCGGTATACACAGGCCCTGGAGAAATTCGTGCTTAATGGCAAAAGACAGTGGGATTCCCCGGTTGCTCCTAGAGCTGCTACTTATTATTCCTTTAAGCTCTTGCCAAGGGCATTGCCTTAAGAGGGTGGCCCTATCTAGCTCAGAGCCACAGGTGACTTTTCCTAAGAGCAATCCAGGGAGGAGTGATGCAGGCATATGGCATCACCAGCCAAGGGCCCAGGCTAATTTCTCACACATCAGCAGCTTCCTGTACTTACCACCATGTACCCACTGACCCTCTTATCTCTGGCTAAAATCAAATTTCTCTTGGGATCTGGGTCCTTTCCAGAGAGGAAGGAAACTATCCAGAAGAACAGGAGCAATATTTATTCAACACACATTGCTTGAAACCCCAGTTTCCTTGCATTCTTTTGTGCCCAGCTCATCCCTATTGTCTTAGTGAGGTACAAGAGGTTTCCCCAGGAGCTTCCCCTTAAAGGTTTCCCAGATCTTAAAAGAAGAGAGTAAAGCTAGGTAGGAAGTGCCTTTCCAGGCAGCAAAGTGTAGTGGGAAATCTTCAGACAGACCAGAAGGGGGCTGGGAGTGGGAAAAAAGCAAGCTGGGAAGAAGCTGTACAAGAGAGTAGCCAGAGCTCCTTCTCTGGAGTCAGGCTTGAGTTCGAGTCCCAGCTCCGGTGCTTTGTAGCAATGGGATCTCCCACAGGTTACGTGACCTCTCCCAGCCTCAGGGTCGCTCATCTAGAAAATGAGAATAAGAATAACATGAACCACAAAGAGTTGCCGTGAGGGTAGAGGAGACAAGGCAAGAAAAGCACCAACCAAGCCCAGTGGCTGGCATGGAGTAAGTGCTCGATGAACAGTCACTATTGACTATAGTAGAGAACGAGAGGAAGGGATCTAGATGACAGAGCACATCAGCCGGAGCCCTTCCGCAGACAGGGGAGCCAGACAGGTGGAGGTGTCGGCGGGGAGGTCAGTGGTGACCTAGCCAGGGCACTGGAGGAGACGGAGCAAAGAGGTGAGAACAGGTGACAGATGAAGCTGACAGACACTTAAACAGGATGCACTTCTGGGCCCAGGGGAGAATCCATTTCCGATTGATCCTAAAGTCTGATTCTGCCAGCTCGGGCTGCCTGGTGCTCAAAGGGGGCCTGAGGGGTGAAGAGTAGGGGACAAAGGGCACCCGATCCCAGGAGGTGTGGTTGACCCAGGTGTCACGCAGGTGAGCGTCTGTGTCTGTCACCGTTATTGGATTTAGAGCATTAAAAGAAGACCCCTTTCGGCCTTTGATCAGGTCTTGACAAGTTCCTGCTTTTTGCCCGAAGGATGGACATCCGTCGGATCAGCTTCGACACAGAGGACCTGTCCGACGATGTCATCCCACTGGCTGACGTGCGCAGTGCTGTGGCCCTTGACTGGGACTCCCGGGATGACCACGTGTACTGGACAGACGTCAGCACTGACACCATCAGCAGGGCCAAGTGGGATGGAACAGGACAGGAGGTAGGGCCCAGTGTGGGCCCAGGCCCTCGGGGAGGGCAGAGATGAAGGGGTGGGGTCCTCCCTCTGCTGGGTAAGGGCTTCCCATCATTTTCCCAGCCTGAGAATTGGTGAAGTTCAGGCCCCAGAGCTGGGGCTCAAGTTCAGGTGGTGATAGAGCTTTGCTTCCTGTCCAGGTGGTGGTGGATACCAGTTTGGAGAGTCCAGCAGGCCTGGCCATTGACTGGGTCACCAACAAGCTGTACTGGACGGATGCAGGTATGTGCAGGGCAGCCGTGGCCTGGTGCTCGGGCACTCCTCTTATTTAAAATCCTGGCCTCGGGTAGAAGGAGCCCAGTAGACCACTTTTATCTTGACCCGAAGTCCTTGGTAGGTCAGGAGTGGGGGCGCTGCTGCAGAGCGGAAGCTGGAAGCTCACATCTGAGGGTTTGTCATTTGCCAATCAGATGGCAGCTACTTGTGCTGTGGAGCTGGTGCCTGAGAATGTTTTGAGGCATTTCACATGAGGAAACTGTGCCCTTTGATTTTCCTTCCATCCCTGTCTTGGTCAAACAGACATTCTCTATTAGCCAGGTGAGTGGGAGAGGCAAGGGCAATGCCTGAAACCAGAGCTACGGAACACGTGGTCCCTGAACCAGCAGCAGCAAGGTCACATGGAAACTTGTTAGAAATGCAAATTCTTGGGCCCTAACCTGGATCTGCTGCCTCAGGGGGTTAGGTTCAGTTAAGAAGCTCTCCTGGTTCTGATGCACACTGGAGTTTGAGGAACATTGCCTTGAAATGACAGGACAGAGTGGGCTGCTTGGTTTGAGAAAGTCTTGTTCTTCAAAGAAATGCAACTGATCACTTCCTTGAATTCCTTCTCGAAATTCAATTCTGCAGCTATTCCTTGGACATCTACCACAAAGTGTTTCTTGAGCATCTACTGCATGCCAGGCATCTGTACGGGGCATGGAAGGGAAGAGGGTGAATGACCGAGGCTAGAGTTAATATCTTTGTCCCCTACTTCTTGCTAGGGACAGATCGGATTGAAGTGGCCAACACAGATGGCAGCATGAGGACAGTACTCATCTGGGAGAACCTTGATCGTCCCCGAGACATTGTGGTGGAACCCATGGGCGGGTGAGTACCTGCTCCTGTGCAGTGAGCCCCACCCACCTTCCAGACCTGAGCGCTCGCTCGAGGGGAGTTGGGGCAAGCGACGGCAGCCAGTTCTTACGGGCACACAGAGCACAGTGACAACTCTGTCTCCTCAGTGGACAAGGAAACCTTTACATGTTTTCTTTCTTCTTTTCTTTTCCTTTTTTTTTTAATGGAAAGTCAAGACTCCCTGTAATCTCACTTTTCAGCAATAACCATCGTTAACAGTGGAGAGTATTTTTTCCATACTTTCCTCTATGTCTATATGTACATTTGATGGTGGGGGTGAGGGGTTGGTTTTGTAACAGTGTCATGCTGCTTTGTAACTTTGTTTTTTCACATGACTGTATGCCTTGCATGTCTTTCCACTTGATTGTGAATATTATATAGGTTTATATATTGTTCTTCTTATTGGTTACATAAAATTCTGTACTATAATTATTTAACCTATCTAGTGAGGAAACATTTCTTATTCCCCATCCTCCCTTCCCTTCTTTCTTTATTCCCGAATAGGCCTTATTTGCCAAGCACTCCTTGAGCCATGGGCTCTGCCTGTATTAAGACCCTCGGTGACTTTTGATAGTGATAAAAGATACACACCCTCCAGACAGCTCTGAGCCCAGGCTGGGGACTGAGGCAGGAAGCTGGGGCAGCTACTGCAGGCAGAAACCCTGAAACCCTAGGGACTCTGGATCCCCCCTGAGTGTAAACTGGAAGGCTTGTAATACCTCCCCTGTCTATGCCCAGGTACATGTATTGGACTGACTGGGGTTCGAGCCCCAAGATTGAACGAGCCGGCATGGATGCCTCGGGCCGCCAGGTCATCATCTCTTCCAATCTGACCTGGCCTAATGGATTGGCCATTGACTATGGGTCCCAGCGGCTGTACTGGGCTGATGCCGGCATGAAGACGATTGAATTTGCTGGACTGGATGGCAGCAAAAGGAAGGTAAGGGTGGTGTTAAGGCATTCTCCCACAGCCCCCCGGGGCATCACTCCTGGCTGGCATCAGACAGGCACTGGGGGACAGAGGGGTGACCCAGCATGGGCCATGTGCTGTTTCTCTGAGGCGGTGGCTGCCCTCCAGAGCCCTGAGGCCCTGCTGTCTGACGACGAAAGGAAACTGGGACTGGTGCAGATGGCGGGCTGGGGTATGAGGGCTGTCCTAGGAATCACTGCAATGAACACTAATTGCACCACGATCTCTCTTAAGTTATTTTTGCTATTGTTTATTTTGGTATAATGTCAAATTTAGAGAAAAGTTGCAAGAAATGTCAGAAGAACCGGTAACTGACATTTTGGCACATTGTTATACCACTCTCTGTCTATTGCTACATGCACTTACATCGTTATTTTTCTGAACCATCAGATTAAATTGGAGACACCCTGCCTTTGACCCCAAAGTATTCCAGTGCACAATTCCTAAGAACAGGGACAGTGCCTTACATAACACAGTACAAAGATCAAGATCAGGAACTTTTTCTAAACAAAGATTTTATTTATTTATTTTTAGAGAGAGGGGAAAGGAGGGAGAAAGAGAGGGAGAGAAACATCAATGTGTGGTTGCCTCTCGGGCACCCCCAAATGGGGACCTGGCCCACAACCCAGGCATGTACCCTGACTGGGAATCGAACCAGCAACCCTTTGGTTCGCAGCCCGCGCTCAGCTGAGCTACACCAGCCAGGGCAGAGATCATAACTTTAACAATCATACAATGTTACTGTCTAATTTATAGTCAATATTAATTTCACTGCCAGTTGTCCCCATGATGTCCTTTACAGGTTTTCTTTTTCTATCGTAGTCCAGGATGCAATCCCAGATCACAGCTGTGTTCAATATCACATCTCTTCAATCTTTAATCTGAAGTACTTCCTCAGCCTTTTTATGTCTTTATTGACTTTGGTATTTTTAAAGAGTAAATGCCAGTTATCATGTAGAATATTCCTCACTTTGTCTGATATTTCCTTGTGATTAGATTCAGGTTCTGTGTTGAGGGCAGGTCCACTATCAGCACATTAAGTGAAGCCCTGTCCTAAGTTCTCAATGTGTCTCATCAGCAGGCACAGATGTTGGTTCGTCCCATTATTGTGACATTAACTGCATCATGAAGATGGTGTCCGCTGTAATGTTGCTGTTTTTCCTTTTATATTAGTGAGCAACTTGTGCAGAGATACTTGGAGATTATATAAATAATACATGATCTTTTACAATTGTCATACAACCCTCGGACCCAGGCATTATCACAGTCATCTCATGGATCAGCAGGTGGAGGCTCACAGGCTTTATAAACAACTCTGGCTCAAGGTCACACAGCAGGCAGTAGTGGCCGAGCTGCACTCTGACTCCTCCCCTGAGCTCTTGGCCACTGCTGTGTCCTGTTGGTTCTTGCTGGGGGATGACACACAGGCTGGGTCCCTGGTAGGTGCTGATTGGCAGCGAGCTCCCCCACCCATTTGGGCTGACCCTCTATGGAGAGCGCATCTATTGGACGGACTGGCAGACCAAGAGTATCCAGAGTGCTGACCGGCTGACAGGGCTGGACCGGGAGACCCTGCAGGAGAATTTGGAGAACCTCATGGACATCCACGTCTTCCACCGCCGGCGGCCCCCAGGTGAGCAGCCCTTGGCCCACCCGGGCTTCTTCTCAGCCTCCCTCAGCCGTGGCACTCACTGTTGACCCCTCTCCTTCTCCCTACCCAGTGTCCACGCCATGCACTATGGAGAATGGCGGCTGCAGCCACTTGTGTCTTCGGTCCCCAAATCCAAGTGGCTTCAGCTGTACCTGCCCCACAGGCATCAACCTGATGCCTGATGGCAAGACCTGTTCACCAGGTGAGTCTAAGCATCAGAGACCTGGAGAGAGCCTCTCAGGGAAGGACAGTGGCTCTCTTCCTTCCCCGTAGGTGGACATCGATGTGGTGTGAGGAACTGTGAGTCCTGGTGCTTCTAAGGCTTAGGGGAGAGACAGAGCTTGTAGAAAAGAGGAGAAGTCCAGGACAGAGGACCCAAGGAGCAGGGACACAGGATGGGAGGCAGGGTCCAACTTGTCCTTAGGGTGTCTTCATGCATATTCATAAAAGATGCTCCTTTCTCAGACACTTTACTTATATCCTGATTTGGTCAGAATGAGTCACTGTAGTTCCCGCTGCCCCAAACCACTCATAATAAATATTAAAATATATGATAGCTACAATCTAATGGTACTTCCCTCGGATGAGGCACTTTTGTGAGTGTATAACCAGCACAAGCTATGTGACCACCTTGATCGATGCGTCCCAGAAGTGGGACCTGGCTGCCCAAATTTTGGAAGTCAGTGTTTCTCCCTAGGGGATGCTGCATGGTAGGCTGCATGGGAACCCCAACTTCCCAGAGAATTTAGTTAGAAAGGAGCTATGAATTGCGCCTCCATGCTGAGGGAAAAGCTGTCTTTGAATTGCTGTCTATAAATAATAATCTCTTTTAATCCCATGATGTGTCTCTCTCAGACACCCTGGTATTGTCCCCACTGTACAGATGATAAAACTGATGCACAGTTTAAGTAAGTTGCCCAGGACACTCAACTAGCATCTAACAGAGCCAGAGAGTGAAGTTCAGTTTGCCGTACTCTAAGTCCTCCTTATGGCTGTTCTGGGTGACTGTCCTCTTTCCTTCTCTCCCCACCTGGGCAGGCATGAATAGTTTCCTCATCTTCGCCAGGAGGATAGACATACGCATGGTGTCCCTGGACATCCCTTATTTTGCCGACGTGGTGGTGCCCATCAACCTCACCATGAAGAACACCATTGCTATTGGAGTGGATCCCCAAGAAGGTCTGTGTGGCCCTCCTTTCACCCCCCGCCAGGCCTTCTGCCCCTGCCCCACAGCAACCATTGTCCTTTCTTTCCTGCCCTCTGTCTGCTGGTGAGAGCCTGGGGGCTCCCCATTCCCTCTGGCCCGGTGTGGGCTCCTGTCCCTGCAGTACTTCCTCTTCGGTTGTAAGGTTGTGGTTTCCGGCCCCCTTCTCCCCCTCTGCCAAGAGCTATCCTAATGTGACATTTCTGCATTTATATTAATTTCCTCTGCTACGGGATACAGGGCTTGTGGACCGGCCCTTTTGTCTCGGGCCTGAGTCAGCTGTGTCTGTCCCTTGGTGGGGGTGGAGGGTCCGGGCTGAGCCAAGCCTTCCCTTTCCAGGAAAAGTCTATTGGTCAGACAGCACGCTGCACAGGATCAGCCGTGCCAACCTGGATGGTTCACAGCATGAGGACATCATCACCACAGGTGGGCCTTGCTCCCAGCCCAGGGGCCACCTGTCTGGCTATGGAGCTGGGGAAATAGCCCATCTGTTTTAAGGCAGGAGCCAGTGTGCTCTCTTGACTTCCTGCAGGGCTGCAAACCACAGATGGGCTCGCAGTGGATGCCATTGGCCGGAAAGTGTACTGGACAGACACTGGAACCAACCGGATTGAAGTGGGCAACCTGGACGGGTCCATGCGGAAGGTGTTGGTGTGGCAGAATCTTGACAGCCCCCGGGCCATCGTGCTGTACCACGAGATGGGGTGAGAGCCGGCTCTGTGACGCAGGGTGGCGGGGTGGGCCAGCCCGGCGGGAGCTGTGGACGGGCCGAACGTGGGCAGTGGACGGCGAGCCTGCCTCACCGGAACATTGACATTGACCTCCCTGGGGCGGTTCCGTGCTGTTACATCTTCTTTCAGGGTGGCAGCAGAGTGTAGAGGTTAAAAGCATGAACCTGGGACTCAGAAATCCAGGATTCAGATTTCTTCGCCATTTATTAGCTGTGCCTGTCACTTAACACTGGTGTTTTAACCTCTCGGATTTTCAGCTTCCTGACTGATAAGTGGAGATGATAGTGCAAATGCATAGCTGCTGACTCTTGTGAGGGTTCACTGAGATAATCCATGGAAAGTACTTCTTCTTTAATCGTGGTAAAAGGAAAAGGAACATAAATGTACCACCTTAACCGTTTCTCAGGGTAAAGTGCAGTTGTATGAAGTACATTCATATTAGTGCAATGCAGATATCTGGAACTCTTTTCATCTTGCAACTCTGAAACTCTGTAGCCATGGCGCAACAGCTCCCCTTGTTGCATGTAAAATATTTTTCACAGGATTGGCAGCCTGTAGGCCCCTGCAGTATTCAGGAGCTGTGGGAATGACCAGCTGGTACTCTTCTTTGCTTAGGTTCATGTACTGGACAGACTGGGGAGAGAACGCCAAGTTAGAGCGGTCCGGAATGGATGGCTCGGAGCGGGCTGTGCTCATCAGCAACAACCTGGGGTGGCCCAATGGGCTGACTGTGGACAAGGCCAGCTCCCAGCTGCTCTGGGCCGATGCCCACACCGAGGTGAGAGTCCCGCTCCTGCCGCTTCCCAGGAGCCCGGGAAGACAGGAGAGGCCTGTTTGGCAACTCTTGCTGAGAGCTCCTTGTTTACCGATAGCCAGTCCCACCCTCTCCTTCCTCCACAGCGAATTGAGGTTGCTGACTTGAATGGTGCCAATCGTCACACGCTGGTGTCGCCCGTGCAGCACCCATATGGCCTCACTCTGCTCGACTCCTACATCTACTGGACAGACTGGCAGACTCGTAGCATCCACCGTGCTGACAAGGGGACTGGCAGCAATGTCATCCTGGTGAGGTCCAACCTGCCAGGCCTCATGGACATCCAGGCTGTGGACCGGGCACAGCCACTGGGTGAGAAGACCCCTGAGGCTGTGAGCCAGAGCCTCTGGCTTTCTAGGGGCATCACAACACCAGAGAGCACAGAGGTTTCTTTATAATCACAGACACAGGGGCCTACCTAAGCCCCCTGCCAGGATCTTGCTGTGTTCCTTCCGGGTATGGCTGGTATGACAACTATATCCTGCTGTCACTTTCAAAGGACCCCTGGAAACATTCCTGTTTCTTCTGCCTCATCCCTGCCAGGCACCAAGCGCTGTTGTTTAGAACAGCAGAAAATCAGGCACAAGAGACTAGAGCCTTTGTAAGATTCAGGCAATATTCCAGGCGGGGTGTGCAAACTCATGCTTCTCTCTCTCTCTCATCACCAGGGTTTAACAAGTGTGGCTCAAGAAACGGCGGCTGCTCCCACCTCTGCTTGCCTCGGCCCTCTGGCTTCTCCTGTGCCTGCCCCACTGGCATCCAGCTGAAAGGAGACGGAAAGACCTGTGACCCTTCTCCCGAGGCCTACCTGCTCTTCTCCAGCCGCGGCTCCATCCGGCGCATCTCACTGGACACCAGCGACCACACAGACGTGCACGTTCCGGTTCCCGAACTGAACAATGTCATCTCCCTGGACTATGACAGTGTGGACGGGAAGGTCTATTACACAGACGTGTTCCTGGATGTTATCAGGTATGAGGATCCCCGAAGCCTCCAGAGGACACAGACCTGCTTCCAGTCCCTGATGGGGGAGGGGAAGGTCTGTGCTGACCTCTGAGTGGACTCAGCAGTTTGACAGCTGAGTTTGACCCTGACTTGTTCACTTTGTAGTGTTATCACTTACAACAGGGTTTCAGACTTGGAGGGGGTTTCCTATTGTTGTTTGAAGATTTAATAAAAGTCCAATGTGTAAAACAAACAAACAAAAAACCCTGATCATGTCAGGCTGGGGACCCGGAACCTTCTACCTTTGTCACTGAGCCCTGGGATTGCTGTAAGGAGTTTGGAGACTCGCTGAAGAATCGGCCGTGTAGATAAATCGTGTATCTGTACTGTAACACAGGAGCCCCGGACAAATGCCACGGCTGTCATTGTTCACAAGGATTTTTTTTTGAAGATTTTATTTATTTATTTTTAGAGAGGGAAGGGAGGGAAAAAGAGAGAGAGAGAGAAACATCAATGTGTGGTTGCTGGGGGCCGTGGCCTGCAACCCAGGCATGTGCCCCAACTGGGAATCGAACCTGCGATGGTTTGGTTTGCAGCCTACGCTCAGTCCACTGAGCTACGCCAGCCAGGGTTCACAAGGATTTTTTTAACTGATTTTTTTTTTACCCCAGCACGGCTGAGGAGCGTGATGCCCTGCCACCGGTACGAGGGGCAGAGGGGCTCACGTGCAGGAACAAGGGCACTCCTTCCCCTTCGCTCTCCCTGGAGAATCTCATGTGGGGGAGCAGGGGGGCCTGTGTTTAGAGAAGTCCCCCATGTGTCTGTGATGTGTCCCTCATCCAGAGGTTGAATTTCCTGGCACAGAACTTCTGTAAAAATGCACATGGAGCTTTTCCCAAATTGGCCTTTTTTTATAACGGCCGCCCTAGCAATCCTTGCATCTTCCCTAAGGTAACTGGGGAATTGTTAATCCTTCTTCTGGCAAGACATGGACCTGAACGCCCCCTTATTTACAGCAGGAAACATTCAGTCCTCCTAAGGATTTATTTATTATTTCTGCAAATATTTGGTGTACCGACTGCGCTAGGTACCCTTGGTCTCTGTCCCTGTGGAGCTTACGGCATAGGGGGTGGGGTGCAGTTCTGGAAACATGGATTAATGGGGTTTCGGTCTGCGGCTGGTCCATGTGGTCAGTCATCCAACCCTGGGCTCTTCCCCAAGGCGAGCAGATCTGAACGGCAGCAACATGGAGACAGTGATCGGGCAGGGGCTGAAGACCACCGACGGGCTGGCCGTGGACTGGGTGGCCAGAAATCTGTATTGGACAGATACCGGCCGAAATACCATTGAAGCCTCCAGGCTAGATGGATCCTGCCGCAAAGTGCTGGTCAACAACAGCCTGGATGAGCCTCGGGCCATTGCCGTTTTCCCCAGGAAGGGGTAAGTGTATGGCCAGCAGAAAGGAGACCCAGGGAAGGAGGGAAGAGGCCCTCTGTTAATGGTATCGGCATGTCCCTCGTATTCTCTCAAGCTCTGGGTGCCTTCTCCCCACGTCTCAGTGCTGATGTCACTGCTGTGTCTCAGGTACCTCTTCTGGACAGACTGGGGCCACATTGCCAAGATCGAGCGGGCAAACCTGGACGGCTCTGAGAGGAAGGTCCTCATCAACACAGACCTGGGCTGGCCCAATGGCCTTACCCTGGACTACGACACCCGCAGGTGGGAATCCTATCCCAAACAGCCTCCCGAATCAGGGTGGGCAGAGGAGAGGATGCTGGAGATCGAAGCAGTGAGAATAAAGGGATGGAAAGCTGTTAGCAGGTAGGGGAGAGGAAAGCAGCGAGAAGGCTGAGCCAATACATTCTTAGAGCAGGGGTTGCTGAAGCCAGCCCTCAGCTCTCTCTGGGCTGGGTTTTATTTGTCTGGTTTGCATGGTTTTGAGTGAGTTTGGCAGAGCGTGTCCTCTGGCTGGGCCACAGGTCCCGCCACCCCCATCCATTTAAGGGCCGATCCTGCACATTTCTTACTCTCCTGATCCCTTCGGACACTGGAGTTTGCAACTGTCTGGGTGGAGAATGCTAAAGGGCAGAGGAGGGTGGCGGGGTCTGTGAAGCAGTCGGCTCCCCTCTCTGCCCTCAGGAGAAGGGAAAGGAAAGTGTCCCCGGGAGATGGAATGGAGATGAGGAGTACCCTCTTCCTTCACCCTCAGCGACGCTCTTGTAAACCAAGTCTCTTCTTGAGCATTCGTAGGAGTTTGGGCTTCAATTCTTAGGTCGGAATCAAAGGGTGATGGAGTTGCTGAAGATGAGACTGGTTGGTGGCCCCTCCGAGGTCATTGGAGGGTCTACCCCCTGCTCAGAACAGCCCTGGTGTCCCCACTGACGAGTCACCATCTTCTCCTGTTCGGCCTTGGGACTCCCAGTGGCCCCTCATCAAGGGTGCTTCTTGACCGCTCACAGCTCTTGCCAGCTCAGCTCAGGAAGGGACAGACAGCTGCTGAGCAGGGAGGGCGGGGCTCCCAGAGGGTGGGGCTCCCTGGCAAGCAGTTTGAGCAGCCGCCCTCGTCTCCTTTCCTGCACAGGATCTACTGGGTAGATGCACACCTGGACCGGATTGAGAGCGCTGACCTCAGTGGGAAGCTTCGGCAGATCTTGGTCAGCCACGTGTCCCACCCCTTTGCCCTCACTCAGGTACTAGCTCAGGAAAGGTAACTAAACTCCTTAATGGGGGTGTTTCCTTGGGGTTCTAAATCGGCAGCCTCAACCCTAGAGGCTACCGAACAGGTGTGCTGTAGAAGTTCATTTTAGGGGTGTTTTCCTGTACACTGAATCCTGGCCGCCACGTGCTCTGCTGGTGCCGCCCCACCGCTCCCGTGTCCCAGCATTCACAGGAGTGGCTCTTCAGTGGTGGCGCACAGAATTGGCCACAGGGCTTGTTAAAATACATGTTCCTGGATTTAGAGAACCTGCTTCATCGGGGTTGGGCTGAGGAATATGCATTTTAACAAATTCCCCAGTTGATCCTAATGCTGGGGTCCCGACACCGGATATCAGGCTGCCCACTCAGTGGCAGTGGGATAGAGTGGCTAAGAGCCAGAGATTTGAGGCAGCTAGCCAGTCAGTCAGAGTTCACTGCGCACCCCCGACGTGCTAGCTCTGTGAGTTCAAGTTCTGTCTGTGTCAGTAAGGAACTGTGCAGCTTTGAAAAAGGCATTGGACTTCTCTAAGCTTCACTTACCTGCATATAGTTTAACGAATGAGTCTAATAATAGTATCCTCCTCAAATATACATTGAGCATTAGCACACTCTCTGGCACTCAGTGCTTACTATTTCTAATCATTTTGATTATTACCGGCTGTCAGTTTTGAGAGTTCTAACCCTGAGTAAAATAATTCAGGGAAGGACAGAGGGGATCTACAAAGCCTGGGACCAAAACAGGGACTCTCAGTCATTTAAAAGTCTCCGTGCCTTTTTGACAGACATCCACTTGCCTGTATTCTGCATTATATCCTACCGGCCAATAGGATTTTGTCTGGCTTACTTAATGATAGACTTTTTCTTTGCCATACTCCAAAGGTAAAACTACAAGATAGGTTGTTTTTTTTTTAATTTTTTTTATTGATTGATTTTTTTTTTAGATAGAGGAGAAGAGAAACAATGATTTGTTGTTTCAGTTATTCATGCATTAATTGATTCTTGTATGTGCCCTGTCCGGGGATCGAACCCACAATCTTGATGTATTGGGACAATGCTCTAACCAACTGAGCTACTCTGCCAGGGCTACAGGGTAATTTTGAATATGGTTTTTCAATCTATAAGTCTCCCATGAAGTTTTCTGACGTGTAACCTGGGTGCAAGAGGGGAACCGAGTTCATTGCCCCTCCCCACCCCTGCTTGAGACTCTCAAGATCACTGCACTAGAATCAGCTGCCCACAGAAGTAACCAGAGGACTTACCAGGGCTCTGACTGAAGGGCCCAGAAGAGCAGGGACCTTAGAAGGACCCTCTAGTTCACTCCTATATGCTAGGTACGGGAACCCACTTAGTCACTGAGCAACTGACCAAGTGCAAAATAAGTGTTAGGTGTTGGAAACTGAGAGATGAACTTGAAGAACCTGACCTGGCAGGACAGACAGACATGTGAACAAATGACCGTAGAATGTCAACACTCACTTGTAGAAGTGAGGACACAGCACAGAACAGCACGGAGGAGAGAATGGTAATTTCTCTATAGATCGGGGGCAGATTTCCTGGCCAGTGTCACATCCTGGTGGATGAGAGGAGAGGGCATTTCAGCAGAGGGGGTGCACATGCTGAGGCATGGAAGCCGGACTGGGGTCTGACTGATGAACGATATTTCCTGTTTTTTGGGCTTCCCTTTTGAGTAGCAGGACAGGTGGATCTACTGGACAGACTGGCAGACCAAGTCAATCCAGCGTGTTGACAAGTACTCAGGCCGGAACAAGGAGACAGTGTTGGCCAATGTGGAAGGGCTCATGGATATCATTGTGGTTTCTCCTCAGCGGCAGACAGGTGGGCTGCTGGGTCCTAAGCCTGCCTCCCTACCATGGGTGGGGGTGGGGGTCACCCCAGGGACTGTTCACGGCCAAGACAGTTAGAGGCACGGCAAGCCTTTTGGTTCACATTTTAAGCTCCTGGGCTTTTTTAGCCCCTTGTGGTTATATGCCTCCTGCTCTCTGCTCCTGGGAATGAGGTAGCCCTGGATTTAATTCTACTCAGAGACTTAATTCTGTCACAGGCTAGATATTCTCGTTCTTTGCCCCCAGGGACCAATGCCTGTGGTGTGAACAACGGAGGCTGCACCCATCTCTGCTTTGCCAGAGCCTCGGACTTTGTGTGTGCCTGTCCTGACGAGCCCGATGGCCGGCCCTGCTCCCTTGGTGAGTGGGACTGAACGGCCTCCAGGGACAGCAGAGCCCTTGGAAGGAGAGGGGAGCAGCAGCCTCAGCTTTATCCTTCTGGGTGGGGTCCCCCTCAGAGGGTCTGAGAGAGGAGTGACTGGGAGTAGTCGCTCTGTCTGTATTTACTAGAATGGAATTGGTCTGTGCCTCTGTGAGCCAGCCAGCCCACCCAGAGCTATTAATATTGGGATTCAGATCCTTTGTAGTTACAGTGTTGACACAGTCCTCTAATGAGGGTACCTAAGATCAGGGCAGCTAAAAGATTCGTTTGCCGAGTTCTCCAGATGCTACTCTTGGACCATATGTAGAGACTGGGGCTTCAGTGATCCACCCCGATTCTCTTTTTCTCTCCAGTACCTGGCCTGGTGCCCCCAGCTCCCAGGGTTACCAGCATGAATGAAAGGAACCCAGTGCTAACCAACACTCTACCTACCACCTTGCATTCCTCCCCCACTCGGACCCGCACACCTCTGGAGGAGGCGGAAGGAAGGTAAGTGGGTTCACATGTGATTGAGGGCCCTTTGAGTCAAATCATCATCTCCTGCTCACAGAAAACCCGAGTCGCACCTTGATTCTGGCAGATGGGAGGTAGGTCACATCGTTAGCCGTCGGTCCCTGCTGTTCAGGGCAGGAGATGACGTTTAGACTCATAAGATTGTCGCAGGTGATCTGAGGGCAAGGAGCTTTAGAGCAGCTTCACAGAGGAATCGCTCAGTTTCCTTTCGTTCTGTGGCATGTGCTCTCACACACGGGTTTAGTATATGGTCTGGTCCTACAATTTACTTAGAAACCACCAAGTCACAGTGGTGTCTGCACTGCGGGTCTATGACTTGGAAATGTCCAGGGATGTTACAGCCTTAGTTCAGGCTGCCTTTAACCCCCAGATACCTGTACGTGATGTATGTCCGTGTGCACCTGTGCATGACATATGCCCACACACACACACATCACTGCTAACTAAGAAGCATAGCTACGTGCAGGTCTCAAGTAAAATGCTGTTTCATTACATTGAACATGCTATCAATTTAAGACAGATCCTGATTTGAGAAACTAAACCAAAGAAACGACCAATAGCAACTGTGAGATCCTATTGATTGTAAGACACTTTCCTATTTCAGCAACGTCAAAACGTAGAAAAAATGCACATCATAAATTTATGGAATATCATGTTACCTTCAATTTAGAGAATTTTTTAATTTTTCTTCAATTTAGAGAAATTCTTTTTTACAAAGTGAATGTTTTACTTGCAGTTAGAAAATGCAGATAGAAATAAAGGAGAAATAAATGCCCATATGTAACTGCTTTTAATATTCTTTAGTTTGATATAAGTATTTATTGCAAAATGATTATAAGTTTAGTTAGCATGCATCACCACATAGTTACACATTTTTTTCTTATGATGAGAACTTTTTTGATCTACCCTCTTTACAACCTTCAGAAATGTGGCATTATTAACTCTAGTCTCCATGCACTATGTTACATCCCCAGGACTTACTTGTCTTGTAACTGGAGGTTTGTTCCTTTTCACTACCTTCGTTCATTCTGTTTCCCACCCCCACCTCCCACCCCCGGTGAACACCAATCTGTACTCTGTGTGTACGAGTTCGATTTTCTGTTTTTGGACTCTACATTTAAGGGATATTATATGGTATTTGTCTTTGTCTGACTTCACTCACCCTAATGCCTTCAAGTTCCATCCATATTGTCTCAAATGGCAGGGTTTCCTTCTTTTTATGACCGAATAATATTCCACTGTATGTGTATAATCACATTTTCTCTATCCATTCATTTGTTGACAGTCACTTAAGTTGTTTCTATGTCTTGGCTATTGTAATAAGCTTGCACCGAACACGGGAGTGCAGACACCTTTTTGACACAGTGACTTCATTTCCAAGTCTTTGCAACACTCTTCTATTAGAACAGTGTTTTTTTTCATTGTAATCAGTATCTGTAGCTTAAAAGATAAGTAACACTTGATTTCAGTTCTGAAAACAGAAACATAATAATCCCAAATAAGAACTCTAGACACATATCCCTAAAATTGTAAGATTTGCACAGGATTAACTTCATTCTGGAAGTCCCATTTTCCCTTTTTGGAAGTGTTTGTGTACAAAAGCAAACATGCAGATATATAGATATATCTTTCTCACTAACTTTTAAGTATCATACTATCAACCGTTATTAATCTCTGATTTTCTTTGGGTTTACTTGGAAAAATTTTGAACCCTACTCAGATATTTTCTTTTTTTTTAAAAGATTTTATTTATTTATTTTTCGAGAGAGGGGAAAGGAAGGAGAAAGAGAAGGAGAGAATCATCAGTGTGTGGTTGCCTCTCACACACCTCTCACCAGGGACCTGGCCTGTAACCCAGGCATGTGCCCCAATTAGGAATTGAACCGGCAACCCTTTGGTCCACAGCCTGCACTCAATCCACTGAGCTACACCAGCCAGGGCCCTTCTCAGATCTTTTCTTACTGTCAGTTCTGGTTGAAGATTCAATGCATCTTGGTTTCAGATGTCATAGCAAGTTTCTTTTGCCCAGGCTTTTAGGAGGTGCCTGTAGTTGCCTGCTAATAATGTACCGCAAGGAAGTTACCTTTTCAGCACTTCGTGTTAGTTGTCTGAGCCCTCCCTCTGGATGTCTTGCATATTCCCTTGTGAAAGAATAAAGGGGGAAAAACAGTTTGGTGGTTTGTTTGTTTGTTTGTTTGTTTGTCTGTTTGTTTTATGTCTCTTTAGACCTTGTGATCATCTTTAATCAGTTTGCTTGGCTGGTAGCTTCTTTCAGCTTATCCTGGTAGTTTAATAAAGCCGACTATTGATGTTCTTAGGGTTCTCTCAGCAGACTTCCAGATCATTCTCAAACCTGCTTCTCCTTTTAAAACGATACATACTTTTCAACCCATTTAAACACGGTATAGCACCTTGAAGACACTGTCTCCCATGGATTTCGTGGATTTCCTGGTGCTGCTCTCTCCGTACTTCTGATATCTCCCACCTGGAACCATCTCCCATATCTGCAAGCCCCACTCACAGGGCTTTCCCCCTTCGCTGGGGAAAGGCAAGATCTTTACCCAACACTGGTGGTCTTCACATTCAGTCTTCTGTGCCCACAGATGCTCTGAGAAGGATGCCCAGCTGGGTCTCTGTGCACATTCCAATGAGGCCGTACCTGCTGCTCCAGGTAAGCCAGGAGTGCCCAACTGCTCTGAAGAATAATATGTAAGGAATATAAGCCTCCACTGACATCTTCCAGAACCTTCATTGGGACTCTTTGGCATTTATGAACCCTTTTCTTAGACTAAATCCACAGAAAGAATAAACATAACAGCCACCACTTATGGAGTACTTGCCATATGCCAGGCACTTGTTAAGCCATATGTGTGTGCGTGTATGTATATGTATATGTATATGTATATGTATTTGTATACACACACATTTAACCTCCACCATCCCTATGAGCAACTTATTACTGAAACTTAGCTAAAGCATCTTGTCCTACATAATATACAGCCAGTAAGTGGTAGAATTAGGATCAGAGATGCTGACTGAGAAACAGGTTTCTTCTCAGCCATCTACCCCCATGGCCTCTCCTCGGAGGAGGGGTCCATAGCCATCCTCGGATGGCATGGGATCCAACACCTATGAAAGGGGCCCTTCATTTTCCCACCCCTGAAACCAGCTAGAAGTTGTCAGTGGTCCCCGCCTAGTGTCCCTCTGTTCTTCCTAGGGGAAGGACTTCACGTCAGTTACGTCATCGGTGGACTCCTCAGTATTCTGCTGATTCTGGTGGTGACTGCGGCGTTGATGCTCTACAGGTAACCTCAGCCTCTCTGCAGGGGCCACATGCTCGTTGGTCCTCGTCAACGCGTTGGGATTTCCTGAAGCTCCACAGCTTGCTAATTTGACCTCTTATCGCCTCATTTCGAAGTTAGGTTCCTGGTCAGAGCAGCAGAAGGGAAAGGCAGAAATCTGAATTCTTACTCTTCTTCTGCAGTCACAGCTCAAGCCCTCATTTCACGGCCACGGCAACCCTTGGGATTTTTCTTTACCAACTAGTGTGCTGAGGGCACAGCAGGTGTTACCCAGGGTCGCACAGGAAGAGCCAAAGCTGGGACTGACTCAAGCATCTGCTTCTCCCTTACCCCACGCTACTCCAAACCATTGAAGTTGGAAATGATTATCTCTTCACACAAACACAGCCCTTTACCATAATATTGATTGATATATCATTGCTCAGTAGGGATCTTCCTGGGAAGCTGGAGTGTGTCATTTTCAATTTATGATCTTTTTATGGCCATATATATCTCTCCCAAATGTCTTAAACACAACTTGCAGCAAAAATGTCAGGATTTTGCTGCTGCTGCTGCTGCAGCTCCTGCTGACAACAATAACAACAGTTGCCATTTAATGAATATGTATCAATGCCATGACAACTTTGTAACAAAGGTATTATTATTCCTTACTTTACAGATGTGGATCTAAGGTTCAGAAAGTGTAGATTATGTCCAGCTAGTAAGTAACAGTTGTATTGAAACATAGATCTGTCTTGACTCTAAAGCTCTATGTGTCAGTTACCTACTGCCGTGTAACAAATTTCCCCACTTTAGCAACTTAAAATGACAACCATTCATTATCTCATGATTTCTGTGGGTTAGAAATCTGGATGCAGCTTAGCTGGGTCCCTCTGCTTTAAGGTCTCTTACAGGGCTGCCCTCCAGGTATTAGCCAGGGTTGTGGTCTTATCCAGGGCTTGACTGCGGAAGGATCCCCTTCCAAGAGCACTCAGGTTGTGGCTGGCAGATTCGCAGGCTGATAGATGGAGGGCCTCAGTTCCTTGCTGGCTGTTGGGTGGAGAATCCCTCATCAGTCCCTTGCCTTATGGGCCTTTTCAGGGGACAGCTTACACCGTGGCAGCTTACTTCCCCTGGAATAACAGTAAGAGAAAGTAAGAAAGCAAAGGCAATGTAAGATGCAAACCATACATTTCTTCGTAACTTAATCTGTTGAATAGTATCCATCATGTTTGCATCATCTGTTCATGAGAAGGGAGTCACCAAATTTGGCCCACACTCAAGGGGCAGGGATTCCAAGGGTGTGAGTACCAGGAGGCGGAGATCACTGGGCCCTCCTCTTGGAGGCTTCCTACCACACTCAGGTTACAAGTTCCCTGGATGTCGCCCGCACAAAGATCTGAACTGATTCCTCATTGTCTTTCCTCCTAAAGACACAGAAAATCCAAGTTAACTGAGCCTGGAATGGGGAACCTGACCTACAGCAACCCCTCCTACCGAACCTCCACTCAGGAAGTGAAAATTGAAGCAATCCCGAAGCCAGCCATGTACAACCAACTGTGCTACAAGAAAGAGGTAAAAATTAAAATTTATATTGAAGGGGTGCTTTTGCGGAGCGGGGAGAAGAATTGCTCTCCAACTGCCTGAATAAGTCAGTAAAGGCCGCTGGGTAGTCCCATCTGCCACTTTGGAAGTTATAGTGAACAGGAGAACTGAGTGTGATGTGGGTTTCTAAGATCTGGAATCATAAATCGGCTCAGTTTCCAGGTCTAGATTCTCGAAGGACCCTAGTGAGAGCGAGGTTAGGAAACAGATCCCAGAAGGTGTAGATCTGAAAGCGTGGGAGTGTGCACAGGAGATAGTTTGCCAGACTCGTAGCTTCTTTCCCTCCTGGAGTTATCATTCCCCTGTGGTGAGCTGTGCCCCCCCCCCCAGAAACAGCCCCCAAACTCCCAGACCACCCCCACAAAACCCCAGGGGTTCCTGGACTCTTCCTCTTCTAACCTCTGATCCAAGCTGTCGGCACCTGTGGCTGAGAATGGCTGGTGCTTTGCTCTTCCTCCCCAGGGCCTTAAGGGATTTCTCTAGAATTCCGGTTTACATGCTTTTGTTCTTTTTACCTCCTTCCTTGTTCCAGTGAAAAATTACTTGCTGGATGTTTAGGCATGAAAAATAGTCCTACTTCCACTAGGGAACTATAGCCTGGGGTTTCAGATTTATCTAGTCTTATACGACTCTTGTTTATTCTAAACCCCTGTAACCCTTCCTCAAAAGCTATCCCTTCTGAGACTTTAATCAGTCCACTCTGTTGGCCTGTGAGGCACAGTCAAAACCTGCCCTCACACCTACAGGGTTCCCATGCATAATGAATCCACTTTACATAATAACTAGGTGCTTTCTGGATCCATGAATTCCCCCATTTAAAAAGCTTCCACTACAAGCCACACAGAACCTGCAGGATGGCTTGCAGTGTGAAAAAGACTCTTAAAGATTCTCGGGTTCTCGGAGCGACTGATACGCCAGAGAACGACCCCATTGAGGGCCAGAGGTTAGAAGATAAAATCATGTGACCTCTTTCTTCTGTTGTATGCTTTTTCCCCAGCAGCTTTTTCATCCCTCTGATAGTCTCTCACCCTTTCTCTTCTGATTTCCTCTTGATTTCAGGTACCTGTGTGTTTGCAGAGGGAGTGGTGTCCCCCAGATTGCTAGTGCCATGTCCCCTGCCTCTCCCTAACTTTCCCGTCGTGTCTCTGTGATGAGGACTCTGAGTGGCCTGCATCGTGCCCTACACTAACATCAGCCTGGAGGGTGTGCCGGGTGACTGGGCACGCGTGTGTGCGTGCATGTGTGCTGGCGTGCTCTGTCTCTGTCTGCTTGATCCAGGGAGTCGTCTCTCCCGGAGGGCAGGGACGACTTCACATTGCTCGATCACCCGAGCACCCTGCTCTGTGCAGAAGCTCAGTAAATATCTGTAGAAATGAGTCGTCACTAAAGCAGAGCGGCAGTGGCAGTGTTCTTGGCAAGGACACTGTCCCAGGGATAGAACTCAAGCCATGGCCCATTTTCTCCTGGCACTGCTGGCATGTTGATGGGTATCCCCCAGAAACCAGGAGTAAGGCTACCCTTTGAGGAACCCATAAAGGGAGAAGCCTGAGTAGAACTTAATTAAGGCTCTCCTTGGAGCCATCCCAGGTTGCTGGGGAATGGTCCCAAGGCTCATGAGAGCAGAGCCAGAATAACCTCCCACAAAAGCTTTTAGGCTGTAGGACACCAACGGATTGACACTTAGAACCCAAATAAGAGGATTTTTTTCATTTTTTGTTTTTTAAAGACATTATGTATTTTTTTAAGAGAAAAATTTTTAAAGATTTTATTTATTTATTTTTAGAGAGGGAAGGGAGGGAGAAAGAGAGAGAGAGAAACATCAATGTGCGGTTGCTGGGGGCCGTGGCCTGCAACCCAGGCATGTACCCTGACTGGGAATCGAACCTTCAATGCTTTGGTTCCCAGCCCGCGCTCAATCCACTGAGCTTTGCCAGCCAGGGCTTGATGTTATGTATTTTTAAAGAGAGGGGAAGGAAGGGAGAAACAGGGTGAGAAACATTGATGTGAGAGAGAGACATTGGTTGCTGCTTGCATGCCCCCAACTGGGGACCTGACCTGCAACCCAGACGTGCGCCTTGACTGGGAATCGAACCGGTAACCTTTCACAGGCTAGTGCTCACAAGCTGGTGCTTAATCCACTGAGCCACAGCAGCCAGGGCTAAAATAAGAGGATTTTTTAGATTTTTCATATCTTACCTCCCAAAACTTTTCTCCTTAACAAAATTAGAAAGAGAGAATTAAGAATCAAATAGCACAATGGTAACTTAAAATCCTGAATCAATGGACATTTCATTGCTTTTGTCAATTGCTTCTGATCAGGTATATCATCATTATGTTCCATTAATAAATCACAATAACCATGTAATAATAGCTAACATGATTTAGTGCATCTTCTGTGTCAAGCACCTGCTAACTGCATTCCACGTATCGCCTGATTTAACCTTCACAGCAATTGGTTATTCTCTCCACACTGCAGATGTGGAGACAGAGTTTTAGAGATGTTAAGTAATTTGCCCAGGGTGGCATAGCCAGTGAGTGAGGGATGCGGGACTGGAAGCCGTGATTCTCCCTCCTCCGTGTGTGCCAAGGGTAACAGTCTTTATAGCTGCTCCTCTTTTTAGGCTAAGCCTCATGTGTTTGCTCTGACCAAGTTACCCTATTCGTTTGTGGGACCTTTGTGCTCTTCATGGCCCCTCTCACTCCATCCACTTCCTTTTTCAGTTCACCATCGGGGATCCTTTATAGAGAGCCAACCAACTGACCATGTCCCCCCACTCTCCACCCTAGGGTGGACCTGACCATAACTACACCAAGGAGAAGATCAAGATCGTCGAGGGAATCTGCCTCCTGTCTGGGGACGATGCTGAGTGGGATGACCTCAAGCAGCTGCGCAGCTCACGGGGGGGCCTTCTTCGGGATCACGTTTGCATGAAGACAGACACAGTGTCCATCCAGGCCAGCTCTGGCTCCCTGGATGACACAGAGACAGAGCAGCTGTTGCAGGAAGAGCAGTCTGAGTGTGGCAGTGTCCACACGGCAGCCACTCCTGAGAGGCGGGGCTCTCTGCCAGACACGGGCTGGAAACACGAACGCAAGCTCTCCTCCGAGAGCCAGGTCTAAGTGCCCAGGTTGCCCTCCCTCCCTGCCTGCTCCTTCTCTTTACGGACATCCAGTCTTTGTGCTCGCTTGTACAACAGGCCCCCTTCCTCTGTACTTGCCCCACTACTCCCCATCACACCCCATAACTGCTCCCGAGCCTGGGAGCTGTTTCTATCTGAGTCCGTAACTACCTGTGCACAAGAAATGATGGCGCATCCTGGAATTTACCATGAACCTCGCCTCTGGCACTCCATCTCGAGCCCTCCAAAGCTAGGCTCGGTAATGATTCCTCGTCAGTACAGAGCTCCACCTCCCTTCCCCTGGCGTCCTCAGTGCCTGCCCCACAAAAGCTGATGATCCAAGACTGCACTCTCCCCCATCAGAGCTGGCCTGACTGCTCCTCTGAGAGAACTGGCCCACCAGGGGCTGAGCAGGGGATCATGGGTAAAGAGAGAAATGAAGGAGAGAGGCTGAGAGGAAGAGGAGTCAGCCCAGCTGGTATGGGCATCTGGGAAACCTCTAGCCTCAAGTGCATTGCTAATATGAAAAAGCTTTTAGGGGTGGTTGGGCCTGAGCGTCCTGTCCATTGCTGGCAATGGATATTATTCTCACTCTTAAGAGTTGCTTGTGTTGCAGTTGGTGAGATCTGGGTGTGGCTCAAGCTATTCTTCCTCCTGCTAGGATGTCTGGAGCCTCTTCTACCTTTAGATGGCTGGGGGACCCAGTGTGGCCACTGGCTAATATGAATTCCCTCCCCGTGCCACCACTGGCCGGCACCTTCCTAAGTCTCTGACTGTAAGCGACTAGGTTGTGAACCAGCTGCCTGAGTGAACATGGGGCCCTGAGGGCTGAGTCTGCAGCGTCTGAGAAGCACTGCCTAGACCCAACATAGCACATCAGCCGAACTTTAATGTTCTACAATGCTCTCCCTCATTCTCTGGGATTTTTGAGCACAAAGATCCAGAAACAGACTTTCAAAGAAGGGCCAGAAGTGTTCATAACTGGTCAGGAAGAGCGATTGAGTTAGAAACGTGGGGCCCACAGAGCCTAAAGGGAAGTCTCCATGAGGTTGAACTTCCTATGTTCTCTCTCAGGTGCTCAGGGATCTAAGTGGGCAGAGAACCTGTGGCTATGGGTGGTGAAGTTCCCATTCCAACTCTCCTCCCAGCTGAGTGACTTACTTTCTGTGCTGAGATGCCACCTCTTGGTTCCTGCTTATTCAAAGGGCACGTCTCACCCTAGATCACAGAAGTTGAGAATTTTTTCTGTGCTAAAACATCTACCTAGTTCATTCTCATTCTCATTCTCTCTCTCCTCTCTCTCTCTCTCTCTCTCTCCCTCTCTCTCTCTCTCTCTCTCTCTCTCTCTCTCTCTCTCTCTCTCTCTCTCTCTCTCTCTCTCTCTCTCTCTCTCTCTGCCTAGTTTGCTTTTTCTGACCTAGTCTTGTGGGGCCTGCGGTAAGCAGGGCTAAATAAAAATGCAAAGTTGGGGGCAAGGACTAAAAATGTTGAGAGAACCACTGATGGGGCCCTCTCAACCCAGGGCAGATCCAGACCGCTTCCACACAGGAATCAGATAATAAAAGAGGACAACAAGGGCCGAGAATGGAGGGGAGGGTTTCCAGGGGTAATTTCTTGATTTGAAACATCTATGGTTATTGGTATTGAGAAATCAGCTGTCAAAAGCAAGCACAAAAGGAAAATAAGAGCAAACATTTTCTAAGACTGCTTGAGCCTGGTGCCGAGGCCTTAGCCCTGCCCTCAGCAGCCAGCCCCAGGTCTCTGTGCAGGGCAGCCAGGCCAAGCCAAGAAGGCTTTTCCAGTGCGTGGCAGCGGAAAGGTGAGGTGCCACTTCCAGGAGCAAAGGGGCGTATTTCACGTTTGACGGGGAAGTAAAAGAAGGAGCACTTTTGGTCCTCAGATTCACAGCTGGGAACCGTGGAAAGTAGAAAAGCGGCATTTTCTTGAAAGGGGGAAGGATCTTATTGCACTTGGGCTGTTCAGAATGTAGAAAGGACATATTTGAAGAAATATCTATTTGAGCACTGATTTACTATGTAAAAAGCAAAATCTCTCTGTCCTACACTAATGGAAGTGATCGTCCCGCGCTCATGTGTAATGGTTTTAACGTTACTCACTGGAGAGATTGGACTTTCTGGATTTTATTTAACCACTATGTTCAGTATTTTAGGACTTTATGGTAATTTAATATAAATTTAGCTTTTCTTAATCACCTTGCCTGGCTTGGAGTCATGACTAATAGCCGCACCTGCTCTGTCTGGCAGGCCCATGCCACAGGAAACCTGCTTGCAGACATCACCTCTGGGTCCTTGGGGGATGCGGGGATGCTGATGAGCCACGAAGGGTATGAGGTTCCTGGCTGGGGGTTCAGCTCATCTTGAGAAGGCAGGTCAAGACCAGAGTTCCTTGGCTTCTGAAATCCTCATTCCCTCTAGAGGAGGGACAGTAGATAGGTTTCTTCTGGAGGACCGACCCTGACTGGCTGGTAGTGGCTGCCTGACGTCCTGTCCACACTCAATGGGAAAGCGATATGATCTTCAGTGATACATCACTCGGGCACCGGAAGAAAGTGTCATGGCATGTATGCTGTGTATCTTCTATTTCTGTTCTAGGTCTATGAGGACTTCATTGTCACAGAACTTGACTTTGCCTTGCAGTGATGGTCACTGTCCAGACTATCCGATGTAAGGAAAGTACTGGAATGGGGACAAGGAGAGCTGATTCCAGTCCCGGGTCTACCACTAGCTCTGTTTGATCTTAGTCAAGATTCCGTTCCTCTGAGAATGGATCAAATGAACACTAAGATTTCTTTTCTTTTTATTTTTTTAATATTTTTTAAAATTTTATTTTGGAGAGAGGGGAAGGGAGGGAGAGAGAAAGGGAGAGAAATTGGTTGCTCTCTGCTGCCTGCCAGCACCCTGGTAGGGGCAGAGCACAGAGCCTCCTACCCTGGCCTGTGCCTGACTGGGAATCGAACAGGCGACCTTTTGGTTTGCAGGGTAATGCCCAACTAATGAGTCATGCCAGATGGGGCAGATTCCTTTTATTTTTAAAAGCTTGTCTTCTCATAGCTCATCCACTACAAGTCAAGGCTAGAACAAGGAGTTGGGGATCTCTTTCAGGTTCTCTCAGTGAAAACTGAGACTCATGCAAGTCTCAATGCCAGACATAAAAGTTTATGTCAAGGCTCAATAGTTGATTTTCTAAACCACAAACCACTTATAGAATAACGCTCTCATTCATTCATCTCCTACTGTGGGTCAAACACTACACTACCTGTGCCTGGCCACAGAGCTTCGAGTCTGGCATCAGCGCTCCTGCCTAAAAAGAAGAAGAAGAAGAAAGAAAAAGAAAAAGAGAGCAAGACATACTGAAGCCCCTTATATTTAAATGATGGTAGATTTGAGTATAAATTATAGCATATAATTCTTCCAACTTGGTGAGGAATAGGTGTGCTAGAACAAAACAAGTGGACTAGCTCAAGGACGACCATCCCCCCATTCCACGGCTCTTTTTTGAAAACACACAGAAAAGAAAGATGTTTTAAGCAATGAAATCCAGCCTCAAGCACAAATTTTATATACCTGTAGGAAGTGCCCCTTCCCAAAGCCTCAGGGTCACAGGCCAAGCCATGAACAGTGACCACTACAGTTCATGTAGAAGAAACTCACGAAGGACCTTTCATATAGGAGGGGGAAATGAATGCATCGAACGTAAACCATTTTATTGGAAAACTGGAGATGTTTCTGGGAGAACAAAGTTTGGTGAATACACTTTGCTACCTTGTGACAAGTCAACCCGTTTTAATCAGGCATTCAGCACTACATTGCCTTAGAGGTCTCGCTAACTCTGTCCTGTTATTTCAGCAAGAGATGAGAGAGAAAAGGACTGGCCTGGTGGCCCAGGTCTTGACAAGAACGTGGCCACTGGCAAATGAGAATTTAGTAGCAGCCCCAAGGACTAGCACCCTATTTTCAGGCAATAAAAACGTGCTGGCTCTTAGTTTCCTTTCCTGATCCGTAAAATGCAAAGGTTGAAACAAATGATTGCTAAGGTTATTTCTAGCCTGAAACTTGTGTTATGTTCCTTCCAGGGTGTAGGGGATGTAACCAGTGTTGAGAACTCCTTGTCTGGTTCTCTGGATATAAAACCTGAAACTAATAAATAGGGAGATGATGAGTCAAATTCTAACAAACTGGATGTATTTTTGCAAACTAATTACATCACAATATAGTCCCTGTCCTTTCTATATTATATGAACACACTGGAAGCTAAGATGAAAAGATCTGTGGCCCACAGGGGGGTCTCCACGGCGTGAAGTGAAGCTTTCACCAAACCTAGGCCTGTGGAAAACAAAGTGCTGCAGAGGAACTTAGGAAAAGCATGTACAAGAGCTGAGGGTACACAAGGTTCTAAGGTGACATTCAAGGGCATTGAGTAAGCTTTAGTTATTTCTACTTATGGACACTGATTTTTAAAATGTGGTCAAGCCCTTTATATGGCTAAAGAAACAGTCTATAAGTGTATCTTCACATGTGAAGACCACTCAACTGATCCACTTAATACTGATGCGTGTTTGGGGATGTTTCAGGCAGCCTGTGTTTCAAAACATTCCCTCACCATTTATTTTCTCTCCAGATCCTTCTCCCATTAACCAGCTGGCAGAGGCTAAGCAGAGTTTTATTTCCAGCCAAGGCTCCAACTCAACTTCGGACTCCCTGACATGATGTTAAAACAGATCCAGGCAGCCTAATTAAGGGTCTGAATTTAAACCCAAGGCTGAAGTTAGCCCCAAGCTACACAATCCGCTTATTTCATTTTACAAGACACAAAGAGCAAAGAACTCATTTATTTTGCCCTTCTCCGTGGTTTCTTTCCTCCAGCCCCTGCTAACGAAGTCCCTATCTTTCCCTTCTGCCTCCTTCCTCTTTGTGGGGCTGATGCTACTGCGGTCTAAACTCTTGGAGAGCCTGCATTTTGGGGGCTGTGGGAAAATGGACTGTGAGAAGAAAAAAAAGGTTATTTATTCCTTCGTTCAAAAAACACCTATTAAATGCAATCAAGTGCAAGCTGAGAAAGGCCTTGCAGTCTTGGAAACCAATCAAGGCACTAAAACCCATAGCCACTTGAGATCTGTGTTAATGTCACTGCTACTGTCTGCAGAGAATAATGCAGGGGGTACCTGGACTGGAAGTTGAAAGGAAGTTAATCACTAAAGCTGCTCCTCTTAGGCTCAAAATAGGGATCTGTGTCCCATGGTAGGGAGCAGAATGCAGCTTGTAATTATGAAATGAGCACTGTCCCAGCCCTAGCAGGCTTTTCAGAAATACCTACCACGGTTATTCAGCAGCCACAATGTCCGGCATTTGTTTCCTGCTTCTGGTTGCAATGACACAGTGTTCACTCTGACGTCTTAGACCCACAAGGATTTCACTGCTCTGTTCACACCTTCCTTATGTAGAACTATGGAGAGGCCCCTGGAATAAAGAAGGCACACATCACACCAATAAATTCATAGATACAGGCTTTGGTGATAATCCTGGACTGCAAAAGATGACTGGCCAGACATTTACTGAACACCTATTATGGACAAGGAACCACGTTAGGTTTCTGTAAGACCCTGCAGGATCTGCCACTCCTTACCCATTTTCTATCAGACCTCACTTCCTACTACTCTCCTACTGCCAACTACATACTCTGCTCCGGCTAGCTACACAGGCCTCCCTGTTTCTCAAACCTGCCAGCTATGCTCCCAACTTAGGGTCATTGCATAGCTGTTCCCTGGTTGGCACTTTCTTCTTCTACATACATTCAGGGCTAATTCCTTTCCTTTCTTCAAGTCTTTGCTCAATGCCATCTTCTCAAAGAAACCCACTATGATCACCCCTAATAAAATTGTAGTCTTTCCAACTCTACTTCCCTATGCCTTTTAAGTCTTTTTTTTCTTTTCCCATTGCATATATTGTCTAATAACATACTATATATTTATGTCTTGATTGTCCATGTGTCCTGGCTATAATGTGAGCTACCAGAGAGATTTTTTTGTTTCTATTTTGCTCACCAATTATCCCAAGTGCCTAGAACAGTCCCTGCACATACGAGGTGCTCAATAAATACTTTTTAAATGAATGAGTGAAGGAATTATTGGAATCAGACATCCATTCCCCACCTTCTTGTACAGCTTTACCTAAACCACATAGAACAAAGAGGGATTTTGACATCTTGTTCTAAAACTCTCTGGCACCTTGACTTCACATGTGCTTTATTGAGCAAATTTCAGGTTACCATCATCCTCTCCTTAAATGTAATCTTCCTTTTATTTCCAATAATATTTAAATAAAGTAAAGATGCCAATGACCAATGACTGAAGACTATTTCTACATATTCATAACCCATTTCTCAAAGATTAGTGTGACTTTTTTTGCACTGGTTCCACTCTCCTTCTCCTGCCTGTGAATCTGTCATCATCTACCGTTTTCATTTTCTCCACTTTCCCACTCTGTGGTCTCACCCACCACCCCAATTTCATTTTTTCACTCCACACAGATGATTCCCTAATCTAGATCACTCGAGTCCTAGTCTCTTCTCCCAGCTTTCATTCTGTATTTCCTGGGCCTACTTAGATGATTCCATTTGAATGTCTCATTGGTACATAAAAGTAAACAGACCTAAAGCTAAACTCCTTGCTTTCCCTTTGAGACTGGCTTCTCCTGATTTTCTCCTTTCATTTAGGCAATCGCCACCTCCCAGTCCCAAGGTTCAAATCCTGGCATACTCTTTGACTCATCTCCCTAAATGGGTCCAACCTTATCTTTGCACCTAGTCCAGTTGGTTGCCAAATCCTCCACTCTTTTCTGATTCTGTTCTCATTTTCAGGGCTATTACCTCATATCAGAATCCCAACTCTAACCCATTTTAGGCAACCAAGCAAATTAGTTTTCGTAAAGTGCAGTTCTGATTCTGTCACTCCCTTGCTCAGAAACTTTGTAATCCCTCTCACTTCCCACTTGAAGTGTAAATTCCTTACCCTCCTATTCAAGATCCCACGGGAGTTGTTCCTAACTCTTTCTGTCAATCTGTGTTCCACTACTTCCCAGCATGAACCCTGCTCTAAAGTCGAATTCAAATGTTCAATTCCTACATATGATGCACTTTCTTGTCTCCATGCCCTTGCTCCTATTTTCCTGCTTCTAGACATTCTCTTAGCTTCTT